TGGGGACAAGTCTGACAGCACCTTCAAGTAGCTTTTGGAAGGTGCTGTAGGACTCGGATGCTAGGGTCAGAAGGGACCTCAATAGATTGAGTCCGACCCCCTGCCTGTGGGAGGAAAAAGTAAAGTCATGTGACCCCCAGCTAGGTGCTTGTCCAGTCTCTCTTGAAAACACCCCCCCACCCTCCCCAAGGTAGGGGAGAGCACCACCTCCTTTGGGAGCCTGTTCACGATTGTGGCAACCCTAACGGTGGAAAAATTCTTTCTGACGTCCAACGTAAAACTGCTCTCTATCAGCTTGTGGCCATTGTTCCTGGTTATTCCAGAGGGGGTGCCCTGGTAAACAGCATATCCTGTTCCCTGCTGCTGCCTCCCCCCTCTGGTGAATTGGTATACTGCCACAAGATGCCCCCCTCAGCCTTCTCTTGCAGAGGCTGAAAAGATCCAGGTCCCTCAGCCTTTCCTCCATAGGGCCTTCCCTGCAGGCCTCTAACCATATGAGTGGCCCTCCTCTGGACCCACTCAAGGTTATCCATGTTTCTCTTGAACTGCGGCACCCAGAATTGGATGCAGTACTTCTGCTGCAGCCTGACCAGTGCTGCATAGAGGGGGAAGCCTCACCTCCTTGGACCTGCTTGTGGTGCACCTACTAATGCATGACAAAGTGCAGTTAGCTCTGCTGATTTACTTCATCGCATTGACGACTTGTATTCATCTTGGAGTCAGCAACGACTCTGAGGTCTCTTTCCGCTGCTGTGTTGCTGAGGTCATTCCTGAGCCTATAGGTGGCTAATTCTTTCAGCTCTGCTATGACACTGGCTAATTCTTTCAGCACCCTTGGATGGAGCTCATCCAGTCCCGCTGATTTTTTTTTAAACACACCCAGCCCCTTCAAGCATCTCTTTACTAGGTCAGCACTGACAGTAGGTGGGCTGGTGTTCCTCCTGCTTCTATCTAATGCATTTGGGAGATTTGTCTAGATCCATGTTCAAGAATAGAGGCAAAAAACTCATTGAAGAGCTCTGCTTTGTCCTTCCTATGTCATCAACTACCCTAATCTATCCTGTAGGGGTCCTATGCTGCCCTGTGCTGCCTTTTTGCTCCCTATATACCTGAAGAAGGACTTCTTGTTGCCCTTTAATTTTTGTCTCCATCTTAAGTTTTAATGCTGCTTTGCCTTCCTGACTGATTCCCTGCAAATGCAAGCCAAGGAGGTATACTTCTTGGTAGGTACCCCTGCTTCCACAGCCTGCATACCCCTTTTTTGCCCTTAGGCTTTCCTGGATTTCCCTATTTAGCAAAGAGGGCTTCTTGGCTCCTTTGCCTCCTTTTCTACACAGTGCCTCCTGGCAATGGGTTGTTGCACCTTCATAGGGGCCTGTCTGCTGGGAGATTCAGAACAGCCCTAGGCAAGCAACTGAGAAAGAAGAAAGTCAGATGGTTTGTGTGTCCTGCTGTAGATGAGTTAATCCTTGGCCATGCCACCAGTCCCCTGTAGAGTTGATCTATCTGGAGCTCATAGGCTGTGGCTTGGCTAAAGTGTCAAGGCAATCTGTATTATCACAAGGCCTGGAAACCCCTGGGACTAATGAGCACAGAAAATCAGGGTGCTGGGTCTCGTCTGACTCCAGCTGTGGTGCCTTGATGTCTTGCTTACCAAGTACTGACCTAGTCTGATCCTTCCTTGCTTAAAAAAACCCAAACCCAACAGAGCACAAATGCATTTCCCCACTATCCAGTGCCACACATTTGTAGTTAAGCCTCCTATATTTGGGAAAGTACAGGGCTTAACAACAGCTGGAGTCTTTCCACTGCTGCACCCCTCCCCCTGGACAACACACACGTGCACACTCTGGGAAAATAAACTTAAGATCCATGGTCTCTCCTTCAGCTAATGGAGCTGCTGGATCTCAGTAGAGAGCATAAAATAAGACTAGGTTTGAGGACCCCTGGTCTCCACCCAGACTGAGAGATGGTGTCTTAGTGGACAGGAGTTGCTTGCCTGGCTGGAGTGTCTTGCCCAGTGAGAAAAGTCTGCCCCATAGTCACTGGGTTGAATACTGCAGGATGAAGTTGAAGGTTCCCTATCTGGGAGGAGAAGGATGTGTAGAGCTGATGAAGGCTCCCCCCACTTAACTTGTCACATTTCTCCAGATGTTTCTGCAGCTGTTGGATGTGGAGGAAACGCAGCAGAAAATGACCCTGGCACCAGAGGAACAGCACCCGCGCTTCCGGGAGAAGAAGAGCCATGAAGTGGGCCGCATCTTCCACACCCTGAAGACTGGGGCGTGCGGCACTGAGGAGTGAGTCGGATGGTGCGCATGTGTGCAACCTCACAGCATGCTGCTGGCCCCTAGGGAGGGATGGCTTGAGGGCAGGTAGCAAATCCCTTGGTGAAGCTCCAGCCACCACCACAGAGTTGGTGGGAGAAAGGTCTTGGAGATGGTGGGTTTGAGAGAACCCACTCAGTCTCCCTTGCTGGCAACCCCAGGTCCCTTTGCAGGCTGGGATGAGTCATGGCTCCCATGGAGTCTGCACCAACTCCACCCCCTGTCCTCCAGGGAGGCAGAGGATGAGTTTCTGCAAGTGCTGTGTGTGCGGAAGGGCAAGAAGCTGACGGCACGGCTGCTGCCCCACCTGGCACGGGAGCAGGCCGAGGGGATCCTGGTTGCCATCACCCGCCACCTGCCATTCCTCATGAGGAAGGATGTACTGGATGAGGTAATGGCATGCAGGGGGAAAGGAGAATGGGTACAGTCAGGGCACCAGTATCCACTCTTCATGCCACCCCCTGCTCTGGGCTTAGCAAAGGGCTTGGCCTCTGCATTCACTTAGCACGCACTCATAACTCCCTAGAAGGGCCCTTCTGGAAGCACTTGACCAATGGCAGGGAGCTCAGGAGAAGGAAGTAGGAGGGGGCCGGTAGCTGGCTTAAGGGACTGGTCCCATTGACTGGGAGACAGTGGTGTGAGGGGGATGTGGGGCAGTGCCACTGAAAGGAAACAGTTCTAGCCGGAGAGGGGAAGTCCTGTTGGGGAGCTTCACCAGGCTGTGACCTAGTCTCTGAAGAGCAATTCTACTTTAACACCCTTAAGAAGGTTTGTAGGTGCACAACCCTGAATGATCCCACAAACCCTGTAATAGCAAGACGAGATGTTCTTCCAGCTCTGCAAAACTTCCCCGTGCTACTTGCTGGCTGGCTTAGCTTCCTGGCCTTTCTTGCACAGGCAGATGCCCTGTGGAAGCAGGGGCAGGGTGGGGACGTTCCAAGAGTGCAGGAATACAGCTCATCCCAGCAGGTGTTGACCTTGACACCCTACTGTCCCGTCTCTGCCCTGTTAGTCACTTCCAGTTCTCTACGGCCCCCTCAGCGAGATGGTGGGCAAGATGACCTTCAGTGAGCTCATTGAGGTCCTGCAGGAGCTAACTAGACCGCTACCTGACTCTCTAGAGTTGCCACTCGCCATGGCCCTGAAGAACCAGGTGTGTTTGGGTTAGGGTAATGAAATTCAGCAGGGCCCTCTGCAAAGATCTTGTGGGGAGAGGGGTATGCAGCTCTAGTGCGGGGGGTGGGGGGGAAGAAGAAGCATATGTCCCAGGTCCAGGCCAGGAAGTTGGCATGGAGAGTGGGACTCCAGGATGCTTCCAGGGATTTGGCCCTTCTGGCATGGTGAAATCCTACTGTCTTGGTCCCAGACCAGGTAGCATAAGGCTGTGAGGGGCTGAGGCAGTGTTCCCTCCTCTGAGCTGCCAATATGCACTTTCCTGCAGTTTGGGATCTCGCTTCTGTACTCACTGCTGAGCCATGGTGAGAAACTGCTCTCCTCGGACGTGCCCTTGGAGCCGCAAAGCGGGGACTTTGAGAAATGGTGAGGTACCGCAAGGATGGGGTGGAGGGTGTCTGCAGTGCATGCTGTGCCAGTCAGGCACTCACTGCTGGGTTTGGTCCCCTCCTCAGGACTGACACTGTATTCCTGGTTGCCAGAGAGCTGTCCCAAGTGCCCAAGACCTCTCTGGTGGAGCCTCTTGTCCTCCCCAGCAACCTCCTCTCCTTGTTCTGCCGCTACCTAGATAAGCAGACCATCCACCGGCTGGAGGTCAAGATGGAGTGAGTAATGTCTGCATTGCCTGGCAAAGGGCACCAGGGCCTGGGCACTAGTAGGCTGACAGTGGTGGTTGCCTCTCCCAGAATGTGCTAGTTCCTCCATATGGGCCCTGCCATGACTCTACCAGGATAGAAAGCATCTAGGCAATGCCAGGGGTATGGGCAAAAGCCTTAAGGATCTCAGAGTAGCATAGTGCTGCAGGGGTGGGCTCATTGGGGGGGGCAAGAAGCCACTGCTGGCCTGCCCAAACCAAGAGTTGAGGTCTGAGCAGTGTGGAGGGAGTTGGCAGAGTTCTGAGGGCCTCTGGGATAGAGGGGAGGACCTTGTGCCCACATAGATGGGGAGCTGAGATGGGACTGTGATCCCTCACACTTTGTCTCCCTGACTTTCTGCTAGTTAAGATGGGGCTGCCCTTCCAGGGCTGTCTGGGAAGCTGGCTCCAGTCTGCCCAGCCAGAGCTGAGGGTGTTGATGTTGGGCTGTGTTCTCTCTACTTCTTTGTACTCAAAGCTTTTGAGATGTCTGCCTTGTATAACCTTGCTGCCCTTGACTCTCCATTCAGACCTCTCTGCTGCTTAGTCCATGTAGACCTGGAGATTCCTGGGGATATGCCCTTTCTGGTGTCGGAAGCATGGCCTACACTGCTGCAAGTTGCCCCTTACCCCAAATTGCTGGTCCTGCTACTGGGCAGAGCCAGTGGTGCCATTAGAAAGGGATGTGGCACAGACTTGTCAGTCATAGAGAAAGTCGTGTGGCATCCCTCCAGGGTCATGACCCAGAGAGAGAGTCCTCCTCAAGCTGGAAAGTGGGTTACATGTTGCAAAGCATGATGGGTACAGATGGGCTGGGAGGAAGACCTGGCATGATGGATCTGGCTGGACTTTGCCCATGGAGATCCAGAAGCTGCCCAATATCCCTGAGCCAGCTGGCTTCAAAGGTAGCAGGAACGGGGAAGAGCAGACCAGACTAATGTGGGAGTTTGGCAGCATGGCTTTGCTAGGCTGTTTCCACCCTAGGACATACTGGTTCAGCATAGTCCAAGGCAGCTCTTTAATCTGTCCACTTGAAGTGCTTTGTTTGCCATCCTAGGGCAGGCAGATCCCGAGCCCTCCTTGGGGAGGTGAGCTCCTTGCTGCCTGGTTGAGAAGTAAAAATCACTAGCAGGCAGGTAGGCCAGTCACTTCCTCCAGCATCCCCTTCTGGGGCAAAGCAGGGGAGGTTCCCTGGAGAGGGGCATGACTTAGCTTCACCATCCAAATGTGTGGTCCACGTCATGGCAGTGAATCAAGCAGAAGGGAGATGGTTTCCTTGTGGCCAGGGGAGGATCCAGAGGAGGCATGGTGGTGTGGTGGCACCCCCCTCTGGCTGTACACTGCATGCCCAATAAGCTCTTGAAGGTCACCAGCTTGTCAGCAGAAACCCTCCTGGGAGCTCTGCATATGCTGCGATGTCTGCCTACAGTCCTGGGGCTGAGGCTGGTGTGGGGGAGGGGGAGAGAGTAAAGGGCAGCAAACTGAAGAGCTGAAAGGGATTTCTCCAAGCAGATCCTGTGTCCATGAACTCACAGTATTCACAGCAAGGGGCTGTAGTTGCACCCCTCCAGTCATGTGGCACATGTGCAATGAGGTCTCTTCACTACACACGTGACCATACTCCCTTTGGCTGTGTGGGACATCACCCCTGCAATCCTGGATCTGGTCTACCCATGCCTGTGGCAGGTGGCTTCTGTCATAGGAGCCTACATGACATAAGTTGGTGATGATGCAGGGGTAGTCCTTGACATGTGCCTGCCTAAAAGGGGGGTTATTGTACCCTAATTTTGTGCCTTCTACCCTGACCCCTGGATCTCTTCCTGCAGGTGTGCCTCGCTACCTTCAGAGACTGCTATGCTATGCTGAGGTGGCCTAGCCTTGGAGAAGAACAGATTAAACCAGCTGCCAGGCAGTGATACTTATCCCTCCCAAGGTGCATGGGCAGGGAACATGATGCAATGACTTTGAGTTTTGAAATTGGACAGTACTTTGGCGCAAGGGGCCTTTGTGTTTTTTGCCTGGGCACAGCTAAGAGCATTACACAAGGGCCTGGTTGTGGCCCTGGCCACAGCCAGTGCCTGGGAGCACAGCACAGACACGGGTAACTTATTTGGGCCTCATCCAGCAGGAATGGGCACTGTGGTCCAGCTGGTGTAGGGTAGGTCTGTACAGTTGGACACTGGGAGCACCTGGCTGGGAGGGTGATTTTTGAGTTCATGTACAGCACTCACCACAATAAAAGTGGCTTATGAGAACCTCCAGGCTCTATGTATAAAGCACAAAGAGGCTTCTGTGCCTAAAGCTTAAAACTGTTTTTTTTTTTTTTGATGTGGAGGAGCAGCCCTTGTATTTCCACCATGCTCCTAGCACCAGCACATACCATCCTGCCTGGTACAGAACCACACTATCTGTAGAAGAAGTGGGAAGAGAAACCCCATGGCCCTGGCTTGTGTCTGCAAGGCAGTCTAGCATACCTGTATGATGGGAGGGGTGGGAATAGAGATGCTGTCCAAACTGGGAGCTTTGCCATTGACAAAGCCCTGAATCTCACTCCTTTCTCAGAGCTATGAGCATGTAATGCCAGCCTTTCCCAAGAGGGCTATTTCCTCTATTCTGGTCTTAGTCAGCTACCAGGGCTGGTCTTTTACTAGGCATGCTGAAGGCTAACAATGGCAACTGATGAAGTTTTACAGCAAACCTACATCTCAAAGTTCCCACTTCAACCTGACTCTAGACTGGGGCTAGATCACCCTGTGGAAAACTTTCTTCCTAGTATTAATCAAAGTAGAGATTGTGGAGCACAACATGTGGCATTATGCTCAAGACACCTGCCACCTCATGTTCTACTCTCCCTCCTTTTTGAGTTTCCAAAAGATAGCTATTTGCTCTCCCTCTCTCTCCCAGCCATTCCACCTCTCTCACTTTCTATCCTGTGCTACTTTGTCCAAGTAGACTTTAACCTCTCTGGGACTGGGGTATTACTTCTAACAGGGTTTAGACCACCTCTGAGTACCCTGCCTGGTCACCTACCCAGGCTTTTTTTTTTCCCCTTCTCACCCAGCCCATGAAGGCAGTGGGGTACCTTTGGGACACCAGGCTGCCAGGGAGGCAGACAGGCTGTAAACTCCGATGTGGGACAGGAGTGAAGGTACTGGAAGAGATGAGGAACTTACAAAACTTTGCAGGTTGAAGCGACTCTGGCAGTGATGGTACTGTTAGACCCCCGAGTCCGTGTGGCACCCAACGACGAGGGAGATGACAATCCAATTGCTTGTGGATCCTGTTATTCATTAGCCAGAGCAAGCAGGGAGCAAACACAAGCACACAGTGCTTGCGACAGCTTTATTCAGAATAGAGACAGCTTTGGGCAAAGGTCCCAAAAAACCAACAAACAGGGGAGCTGCAGTGATCATTAGTTCTTTTCACATTTTATACACCTTGGTTCATACTCATTAACATTTACTCCACGTTTGCCCCTCCTTTTTCCACCCATATTTCCTCCTATTTCAAGCTCTGCCTCTGTTTGCTGTTTACTTCCGTAGCATGGAATTGCCTATGCATTTCATTCATTTACATGCCTCTGCTAAGAGCGCATGCTCTGCTTCCTCTGGTCACTTGCTGGTTCTTTCTGGTTTCTTACTGACTCCTCCTTCATCTCCAAGGTCTTGCTTCTGCTGTTTCCTGATGACAGCTGGTGGGCTGCATCTTGTTCTCCTTTTACACAATAAATCATGCAGGATGCTATCCCAGTGCTAGGAAACTGCTTGCAAGGTTACTTTTAATGTATCATCCTGCCTTGTGGTTAGCAGTTTTTCCTAGGCCACAGGTTATAGCCTTTTATTCAGCTGCAAATGCAGTGCTCCCTAAGATTTAAATATAGTCACCCTAACAGGTACCTCATGGCATAGCCTTTGCTCATGTGCTTGCTGGTGGAAGAGGCCAGGGCAGGGTGGCCCTGCAGCAGCACTTGTGGCCAAAATCTGCTGAGAACCACTGGGCAAAGAACACAGGAAGCCCCTTCTACTGCTGCTGTACTTGCCTCCGGGAAAGGGCAGTGCCTGAGCAAGAAAGAATTTGGGTTGTGAAACCTCATCTTCTACATAGTCAAAGGCTTCCCCAGCCACAGCAGGTTAACCCTTCTTGCCATCTGGTGCAGCTAGACACACACAAGTTGGGTACAAAGTGATGCTGGTACAGGTGGGTTGTGCTGGCAGCCCTGCCCTGTGGGATGTGGGCAGGAGGTGGCCTATGGCCTCCTTGGTTCCAGTTCTGCAAATCAATTACAGCAAGGGTGAGGTTCCTAGTACAGCATCCCCCTGACCTGGGCTGGGCTGGCCTGTGCTCCAGGCTGAAGAGACTGAAGTGCTGCATTCCCTTAAATATAAGATATGCCTCTCAAAGCAAAGTAGTTCTTCTAAAAGCGCCCTTCATCTTAAACTGGAGTTAGTGGACAAGCGTGTGTATACATCGTAAGGGGCTGCAATCTTGTAAATGTCTTTATTTGGTTGGTGGAAGCAGACACTAGCCTGCCTTGTTGCCAGGGCTCAGTATCACAGAGGCCTTTATCATACCTGAGCCCTGTGTCAGCCCTGCAAGGGAAGACGTAGTTCTGTGGGTGGCAATCTGCAGAAAGCTTGCTATGCAAAGCAGAGGGGGAGGAGACCAACAAAGAGAGCAGGTGTTCAGCTAGAGCAGAGATCACAGGATGCTGTGCACAGGACAGGCACCCCCAGAATGCAGCACCAGGTGGAGCGGTGGAGTTGGCAGAGGACAAATGCTTTTCAAAAGCAAAGGCCTGGTGTGTTCCGGGGCCTTCAACAGGACACAGATGCAGGACGGCTGCACTGGGCTCCAGGCCTCTTCTCCCTGCAGGGTCTGTTACTGGAGAGCAAGAACTTTCTCACTCCAAGGGGGAGTTCAGGGGTTCAGCACTGGAACAGGGGATCTGTAGGGGCTGTGGAAGCAGCCAAGAGCAGGTCAGACAAACCCACTTTATCTACATTGGTTTAAACCAGGAGGCTGCCTAGAAATGCCTCCTAAGGGCTCCTCCATCCTGACTTGTCTACGTTCTTCTGTCTTAGGGTGTTACACTGCAACCCATGTAACTAGCATCTTAACAGTTTCCACCTACACACATCTCCCATTGGCTTCCTGGCGTCTCTGACATATCTCCCCTTTTGCAGTCAAAAGTGATGAGAGCAGGTTTTGATGTTTTGGTCCAGTCAATGTTTTGAAAGCCTCAGGTTGTCCTAATGTTCAGTCACAAAGGTGTTCTTCCGTGTCCGCCCAGGCGTAGCAGGCTCGTCTTGCATCCTGTTGTGAGCTGGCACCAGCTTACGCAGAGCTCAGATCCTCTAGGTGCCAGATGCTGAGAGGGGACTATGGAGGACCGGTAGAAAGAAAAGCAACGCCCTAGACACTGCCCTGTTCCACAGTCTCATCTGGCTGCACCTGCTGTTGCCTCCTGCTGAGGTACTACTTACTCCATTAGGTCTCTGTGAAAGTCTCTGTCAGCGGCAAGATTAGCATCCACTAATTCAGTTGTTCTCAACCTTTGTTGCACCAGGACCCATTTGTAAACAGCCATGGGTAGTCCTGGCCCAGTGCCCCTCTCTCCCAACCCACTGCCCCCAGGCCCCAGCCCCCCATCTGTGGGGCAGCAGGCAGCCCCTCGCAGGCTGGAGCTCTGCCAGCCTGCAAGGGAAAAGCTGCAGCTTCCCACGCTTTTCTCCTTTAAAGGAGAATCCTTTTTTTAAGTTTGTTCACAACCCTTTCATAGATTCTTGTGACCCCCTGTTGCATCGTGGCCCACGGGTTGAGAAGCACTACGCTAATTCACCAGTCCCCAACCCGCCGCTCGTGGGCAACACATCGCTGTGGCTCGCAGCCAGTAGGTTTTGCTTCCCACCGAGATGAGTCTGTTGAGGCTGAGGGGGAGCAGCGCTGGTGCCCAGGGGGTGACTCGCTCACTGGCGCTGCAGGCAGGCCCGCACACCTGGGCCCTGCTACGCCGCATTCAACCAGGGCTGCCAAAGCCCAACGCAGTGCATGGAGCTGAGCTCTTAGGGCAGGGATGTCTGGCACCAGACCAACTTTGGTTATGAAAAAATGTCTTTATTTGCACGCTGCCGGGCACATGTGCCCTCCCCACGCACAGGAGGAGGCAAAGCCCGCCCCTGCATCCTACAGCAATTGCCTAGGCCAGTGGTCTCCAAACTTTTTTGATCACGCACCCCTATCAGTAAAAAATTTTTGAGCACGCACCCCCCAATATATGTATATTTATATAAATAGAAATAGAAGTTCTAATATTTTTTCCCGCACCCCAATGGATCAGCTTGCGCACCCCCTGAGAGACCACTGATCTAGACCAGCGGCTCCCGACCTGTGGTAGGCTACCGGGGCACCAGGCAGCCTGTTGGCGGGACGTATTAACAGAATTATTATAATTGCTTATATGACAAAAACGTGCTGGTGACACT